AATAGGAGAGAGGGGAATAGAATAGGGTTTAGAGAGTATAAGAGTGAAATAGTAGATTGACCTTCTTCTCATCCAGTTTACCTAGTTCCCTACCGTTCAAGAGTGAATGAAATAAGAGCGCTTTACCTGATTCTTCTCATCCAGCCCATGTAAGTAAAAGAGTGAAATCAGTCAAAGGTTCATGAGTGAAATTAGGTTCAGGTTCAGTCTTTCTTCGTTTACTGTCTTTTCAGGGAAAGAAAAGATTAGATCAAGAATAGTTCCACCCAAGCCTCGTTCAGTTCAATCAGTAAAATAAAAGGGTGAAGGTTGATTCTTCTTCTCATCCTGCCTAGAAGGTTCAAGAGTTCTTCAATCATTTCTTTTCATTTATTTACTTAACTGTCAGTAAAAGTCATCGAGTATAAGGTTACAGAGTAAGTAGTTGCTCCTCAGGATTGAATTAATAAGCTAAGCTCAAGTAGCTCTTTCTTTGGTTAGTCTAGTAGCTTGACTTTACTACTCGTCCTTCTTTCAACAAACACTGTCAAAATCAACTCGGTTGGTGTGTCTTACCTTTCTTCAAATGAAAAGAGTAAGGATAGAAGATAGAGTCGCTCAGCAAGCAATGAGACTAACTAATACTAATAGGGAGAAAGGAATGAAGGAGTACTTGTTTTCGCTTCGCTTTCGTCTTTCCTTCTTTCAAAGACTGTAAATAGTAGTAGGGAATGAAGAAGTACTTGTGATAAGATAAGTAATCACTACAAGGGAAGTAAGATTCAGATTACCTTGTTGATCGAATATCTCAAGGCAAGAACATTGTTTGAGATTCGAATCACTCCACAAGCAAGATCGATCACGTCTAGCTTGAATGATTCTTGTTGATCAAATATCTCAAGGCAAGAACACTTGTTTGAGATTCGAATCACTCCACAAGCAAGATTGATCATGTCGAGCTTGAATGATTCTACATGCAACCTAAACTACATAGAATTGCAAATAAACTTAGCCATTGGCTAAAGAAAAACACAAATGCTTCTTTTACTATATTTTCCAAGTCTCTTACAAATACAACATACATGACTTTATATAGCCTCAAAATGAAACTACTAGGATTCCAAGAATTGTAACATTCATACTTAATGGTCATAATTAACCATTATGTAATTGTAACCTAAAGTAAATAAAAAATCCTAAAAACTCTAAATTGTAACCCACCCAAAATTTATAACAATCAAACTTCACTCTTTTTCAATGTGGCATGCATTGAAACATCTTTTGATAATTTTGACAACTTTTTCTTCACATCGTCATTGAAGTATATTGTATGATTGATGTTTTTTGGTTCATATCATTCTCCACTTCTTCAAGAGAATTCATCCTCGAATCTATTTGTGAAACTTTGCTACAAAAAATAAGTTATGGAAATACGATAGACCTCACAACACTCTCTCACGAGTATACACTGAAGGAATTTTGGATCACTCTTTTTACACTCAGTTACACAAATGAAGCTCTCATTCTCACCTCTCAAAATTTGAAATAGAGCAAAGATTGAATTTTGAATTCTGGGTCGATTAAAAACTAAAAAGATAAAAAGAAATAAAAATCAAATTGAGAAAAAAAAATGCAAAGGAAACATATATCCGATCTTGAGCCTGAAGCTCTGATACCAAATGATAAGATAAGTAATCACTTCAAGGGAAGTAAGATTCGAATTACCTTGTTGATCGAATATCTCAAGGCAAAAACATTGTTTGAGATTCAAATCACTCCACAAGCAAGATCGATCACGTCTAGCTTGAATGATTCTTGTTGATCAAATATCTCAAGGCAAGAACACTTGTTTGAGATTCGAATCACTCCACAAGCAAGATTGATCATGTCGAGCTTGAATGATTCTACATGCAACCTAAACTACATAGAATTGCAAATAAACTTAGCCATTGGCTAAAGAAAAGCACAAATGCTTCTTTTACTATATTTTCCAAGTCTCTTACAAATACAACATACATGACTTTATATAGCCTCAAAATGAAACTACTAGGATTCCAAGAATTGTAACATTCATACTTAATGGTCATAATTAACCATTATGTAATTGTAACCTAAAGTAAATAAAAAGTCCTAAAAACTCTAAATTGTAACCCACCCAAAATTTATAACAATCAAACTTCACTCTTTTTCAATGTGGCATGCATTGAAACATCTTTTGATATTTTTGACAACTTTTTCTTCACATCGTCATTGAAGTATATTGTATGATTGATGTTTTTTGGTTCATATCAACTTGTTTTCACTTCTTTTTTTGTCTTTCCTTTACTTCTTTCTTTCTTTCAGTAAGGGTCAAGGTCATATCGTATTCCCGTCAGATGTAATAAATAGATAGAAGCAGCTACGGTTACAGATCAAGAAATAGAGTAGAGTCCATCAAACAAAGGAAGGGTCTGGTTCTGTCTCAAGAATCAATAAAGTAGAGTCGGGCAAAGGGTTCGGTTCTGTCTCATTAATGTAATGGTTAGAGTCTTTCCTTAAATCCTAATACTAATATCCTCTTTCAGTTGATCTTTGTCTTTTAGTTGTTAAGTCTCATTAATCCTACAAATCAAATACTGGTAAGGAGGAGATAATGTAAAGAGTGAAAGAAAAGAGAGTGCTTTCTTTAACCTACTTCATTCAATAAGGGAATAAAGGGGAATGAGCTCGCGTCTCAACCATTTACTCTTTTGACCACTGTAAAGGTTCCGTTCAGTAGTTCAATCAAGTTATGGTGAAAGAACCAATGAGAGCTCACTGTAGAGCCTCCAGATTGAAGAAGAACAGAAATACGGTGAGACCTGCAGAAATCTTTCTCTTGTTCTCGAATAGCTAAATGGCCATTGACGAGGTTCCACTAATAGAGACTAGTAGCTTGACCCTCTTACAACAGTTCCATCAGGGACAAAGGGAAGGGACAAAGGCAAAGAGTTCGTTGTTGAGTCTAATCATTCAGTCTTAGTTTACGCTTACTTACTCTTTAAGTCTTCAAAGCGGAAAGAAGAAAAGAAGCCAGCCACATTCTCTATCAATCCTTTCTTTTACCGACAAGTGATTCAAAAGAGAGAGACCAGAGAGAGAGTAGTTAGTATAGTCCTAATCTATGAAGAAACTAGGTTACGGAAAGACTGTGAAGGAAGTTGGTCATTAAGGTGACAGACAAAACCAAAGCTAAGGTTGGAAGCAGCCAGGCCAACCAGACGAAGAAGCAACGAATAACTAATATCAAGCTTTAAGGAAGGAATCCTTTGACAGTTAAAGCTAAAGCAAACAGCCAGCAAAGAATACTAACTAATTGAATCCAGTTACGGGGAAGGAAGGGGAAAGAGTTAGTGAGCAGGGAAAAGAGTGAGTTCACGCACGCATCTTCTCTTATTTAAGCTTTTCTCCTGAGTCTTGAAACAAACAAACCAACCAAACCCAAACACTATTCGTTCTGCAGTTACTTCAAAAAAAAAAAAAAAAAAAAAAAAATACTGGAACAAGAACTTGAAAAAGAGTGACAACGAACTCTAATTCATCAATATTTTAGTCTGTTTTCAATAAAATTTGAATCAAGAAATATCGATCGTAAGTAGTCCGGTATATCAATATTGTTTTATTGTATTTCCATTTGTTGTTAGACGTTAGATTAGCTTTACCTTGTTTGTCTGAAATGAATCTTGTTGTTGTGTTTGGTGTTGTGTTCTTTGTCTGGACTAGAGGTAAGCTTTACCTTCCTTTAATGTAAATATGTTGTTGTAGTTGTTAGACTAGAGAGAAGGGAGTAGCTTTACCTTTCTTTAATGTAAATGTAAATATGTTGTTGTAGTTGTTAGACTAGAGAGAAGGGAGTAGCTTTACCTTTCTTTAATGTAAATGTAGTTGTGTTGTTGTAGTTGTTAGACTAGAGAGAAGGGAGTAGCTTTACCTTTCTTTAATGTAAATGTAGTTGAGTTGTTGGCTTCTAAAGGAGAGTAACTTGACCTTCCTTGCCGTAATGTAAATATCTTGTTGTTGTTCGTCACGTTAGATTAGCTTTACCTTCTTTCCTTTAATGTAAATGTAGTTGTATTGCTTTAGACGTTAGGTAAGCTTTACTGCTTCCTGCCTGTAATGAATTTATGTTGGTGGTGTTACCTGCAGCTTGATTTCTTGAGACGTCAGGTAAGCCTTACGCCCCTTCCCGTATGTAATTCATGTTGTTAGCTTGCTTCATATAGAAGTGACTTAGAAGCGAATAATGGAACTTCCTTCCTCTAATGTAATTATCTTGTTGTTCATGTTGTTTCTGTTGTTGTGTGTGCTCTAGAAGTTCATGAGCTTGATCTTTACCTTCTTTCCGAGAATGTAATAATCTTGTTGTTCTTGTCTTGCTCTTCTGTTCCTTAGAAGAGAGGACTTGACCCTTCTGTAATGTAAATGTGTTGTTCTCTTGAGAGGAGAGGACTTTACCTTTCTGTAATGTAATCGTCTTGTTCCTTTGAGAGGGGAGGACTTTACCTTTCTTTAATGTAACCGTCTTGTTCTCTTGAGAGGGGAGGACTTTACCCTTCCATAATAGAAATGTTGTTCTCCTCTCAAGTTATTTAGAGGATTGCAAGGAAGTAAATCCAGTACGAACTAACATACATACAACAAGTACAGTAGTAACATACAAACAAACAGGAAGAAAATCCAGTAGGAACTAACATACAGAGAGCAAGTACAGTAGTAACATACAAACAGACAGAGAAGAAGGAAATCCAGTACAAACTAACATACAGAGAGGAAGTACAGTAACATACAGACAGAGAAGAAGGGCAGTAGGAACATACATAGAGGAAGGAAGTACAGTAGTAACATACATACAGAGGTTCACGACAGGGAATGAATCCATAGAGTTTAATCAATACACAGACAGAAAGATAATGAATGGCAGAAGGGAAAGGGAAGAAGGCGAAGTAGTGTAGTAGTAAGTTCTTCCAGTAGAGCCAGGAGGAAGTGAAACTAGAGACAATAAGTAGTCCGTTCTTACAGGACAGTAGGAAGTGGAAGAGTTCGAAGTTCAGTTTAGTAGCTAGCTTTATGGCTTGACTTGTTCCTTCCAACCAAGTAAGCAAAAGAGAGGAGAAGTGCCTTCAGTAGCTTAGCATCATAAATAGTACTATGTTAGGATCATAAACAATACTAGGTCAGGATCAGAAAGTAGTTTACCAGCATAACACAGTAGGAGGTCAGGATCATAAAGTAGGTCAGGAGCATAACATAGTAGGAGTTCAGGATCATAGACTAGTTTACCAGCATAAAGAGTAGGAGTTCAGGATCATAAAGTAGTTTACCAACGAGTAGGATTTCAGGATCATTAGGTTAGGAGCATAAACAATAGGAGTTCAGGATCATAGACTAGTTTACCAGCAAAAACAGTAAGAGTGAAGGATTAGAAAGGAGTGACGGAGCGGAGTGACGGATCATGTAGTAGTTTAGTTTAGGATCATGTACTAGTTTAGTTTAGGATCATAAAGTTAGGCTCACAAGCGTAAAGAAAAGAAGAGAAGCAATGATGAGCGAATACCTTCTTTAGTCTAAGGAAGAAGTCGTTTCAGATTAACTTCTCAAAGAAGAAAGTTTCGACAGACAGACAGGTTACAGAGCAAAGACTCAGACAAAGACAACTAACTACCTTTTACTTACTTCCTTCAATCAGGAGCAGAAGGACATAGATAGTCCAAGCAATGTAATATAATTACTTCAATCAGTTTCACGAGACAGCTCACAGACAGAGGGAAAGAAAGGGGAAAGAATCAATACTACTCACTAATACTACTTAACCAGTGAAAGAAACATTATATGAATTAGGAGCCAGTAGACAGACAATATCAGAATATGGAATATGAGTTTACCAGTACTGTAGCAGACAAGAATTAGAAATAAGAAGTTACCAGTACAGTTAGGAATACGAGTTTACCAGGAGACAGAAGTATAACAATTAGGAATAAGAGGTTACCACTACAGTATAAGAATTAAGAATAAGAGTTGTAAGTTAAAGAAGGGAATAGGAGTTTACCAATAGAGTAGAATAATTAGGAGTCAGAATAGGAGTTTAACAGTAGATAGAGTAGAAGTGAAGTAAAGGACTGAAGTTTAGTAGTAGAGTATAAGAATTAGGAGTCAGAATAAGAGTTTAGCAGTAGAGTATCAGTTCAGTAAAAGACTCATGTTTAGTAGTAGAGTAGAGTATCAGAATTAAGAGTAGGAGTCAGAGTAGGAGCAGGAAGCAGCATAGTATAAGAATTAGCAGGAGGAGTAGGAGTTTAGCGAGTATAAGTGAATGAAGTGAAGGACACCAGTTTAACAGTAGAGTAGAGGTAGAGAGTATCAAAATTAGGAACTAGGAGTAAAGGACAGAGGAGGGAGCCCAGACTCAGACAAAGTTTACAGTTCAAGAGTTAATTCATTAGCTGCAACTTTATCAATAGAATAGGTTACGGGCCAGGAACCAAGCAATGAAACCGACAAAGGAGGGAGGGGAAGGAGCTTACGCTCAGCTTAGTTACATAACATACAAACAAGGTCATGGAAAAGAGTTACTTACAGAGCAGTCTCATTACATTAACATTTAGTCGCAAATTTCGGTAAAAAAAGTCAGGAGAAAGACAGACAGACTCACTCTCAACAAACAATACACTTTACAAAGAATATAACATAACAAACTAGAAACAAACAAACCGATACCGTACGTAAACTTAGTTAGTTCAACCCTTCAGTCTGCAAGGCCATTAATTAGCTACTTGACTTTACTATAGCAGTCAGAAAAAGAGTGAAGGAGAAAGAGTTGTTCGTTCCAGTATAGATAAGCTAATAGAATAAGTATAGGTAAGCTACTATAATAGAATAAGTAAAGGTAAGCCACTATAATAGAATAAGTATCAGAAAGCTAATAGAATAGAGTAAGTAGCAAAAAGCTAATAGAATACTCTCAGTATTACAAAGAAGGAAGAATGGGTAAGTAGCGAGAGGAGTTCATTCATTCAATCAGGAATAGGTTCAGCAGCAGATCCTTCTTTTCACTCTCAGTTAGAAGGAGTTCCCTCTTACAGTTGCCAGTCGTCTTCTTTTCTTCTTTCGGTTCCTCTTACAGTTACAGAGTTTAATGCTGCTTTCCTTCAGTCTTACGTTTACTGTTCAAGAATAGATTCACAACTGGACATATCTCCTCTTCAGGATCAAGAACCAATGATAGATACCCCGGTTACTAGGTGACGGATTGAATTAACTAACTCAACAACAAAAGAAGTAAGAGGTTAAGGAAAATGCATTAATAGAGTATAAGAATAAGGGTGACAAGACGGTTTCTTCTCTTTCAAACACTATATAAATAGAGGCAAAGAGAAAGAGTAAGGGTTTAGCTTTCTTCTTCTTCTTCTTTACTAACACTATAAAAGAATCAATAGCAATAGGAGTTTCGCCTTGACTTACTTACGGGTCAGGAGTAAAAGAAAGAAAGCAGCAAGGAAAGAGATAGTTTACTAAGAGCAGTCAAAGGATCCTGAATCTTGTCTTCCTGCAATCTTCACTTACTTACAGTTCAGGAGCGAACGAAGCAGTTCAACAGGCGATTGAGCGAAATAGTGAGACATATGTTCAATCAATCAGGTGTTCGTTACGGCCTTGTTCTTGGTGTTGGAGAGGTTAAGGAGCGAAGCAGTGAGACATAGAATATAAGGAGTGAAAGAGAAAGAAAGAAAAGCTTACAGAGTTCTCCCTTCGTAAATAAGAATAAATTATTCTCAATTAGGCAGGGACAGGAGCAAACCAACGAGACTCCAACAGGAGAGAAAGGAGCCAAGCAATGTGACACACACAACGAATGAGCGAAGCAACAAGGAGAAACCCAGAGGGAGAAGAAGAGCGAAGGAAGCAATGAGCCCGATGAGGTGTAGGGGCGAATGAGTGAAGCAATCAGCCTGCTATAAGGTTACGAGACAAATGAGTGAAGCAACGAAACTGGAAAGAAAAGGAGAGAAGCAATGATGAGATAAGAAATAAGCTCATGAGCCAAGCAAACGAAAAACCAGAGGGAGAGAGAGGACAGAAGGATCCTTCATTGTGCGTGAGAGAAGGTAAGGGAGTTCTCAGTCAATTCAAAAAGGAAAGGGGGTTACGGTTACGGTCTTGGTGGAGAGAGAGAGGTTAAGGAGCAAAACAACTCGACAGTAAGTAAAGGAGAGGAGTGAAAGAAAGAGGTTCAGGTGATGGTTCTTCAAATAGTGTTGTGCTTTACCCCGGTAAAAGAGTGAAATCTAATCTAATATAATCTGGTTCGTTCAGTACCTTTACCTTGGAGTAAAAGCAAGAAGGAAAGAAAAGGCTGTCGGGAGAGGAGCTAATCATCCAGCCCCAGCCAGTTACCACAAAGAGTGTTTGAAAGAGGACAAAGAGAAGTAAAAGAGTCAATTCATCTTTCTTTAGTCTTTACAGGGAAAAGAGTTAAAGAAAGGATACAGCAAGATCAGTAAAAGAGTTAATAAATAGATTGATTGAATGAGTTTATCAGGTGAACTAAGGGAAAAAGGAATAGCAGAAAAGAAAGGGGAAGGGGTTCCGTTCAGGCTCAGTAGTGAAGAGGTTCGGTTCAGTCTCAGTAGCGAAGGGGTGAGGTTCAGTCTTTCCTTACTACTCAGGTTTATTCTTCTTCTTTATATTACAAACAGAAAAGAGTAAAAGAGTGACAGAAAAAGGATACAGCAAGATCAGTAAATAGGTGCAGGAGAGCAGCAGATAGTTTACGGTGAGGGGAAGTCAGTCAGTCTCTCTCATTCTTCTTGACTTGATGAATAGGGAAGGTTAATATTAATAAAGAGAGGCGAAGGCAATAAAATTGCTTTAACGAGTGAAATCAGGGAAGAGGGAAGGAGTGATTTCGTTTACCCCCGGTTTGACTGAAAGAAGGTTACTTCAGTAGTTATTTCGTTTACAGACAGAGTGGGAAAGAATAAAGAGGAGCGCAGCAGACTGATAGTTTACGTCAGGAGTCAAGGAGAAAGAAAAACTACTAGCTATATTACCGAGCGACAAGAACGGAATAGCGGGGCAGGGGAATTAATCTTTTCTTATAGCTACATCGGGGACAAGAGTTTACCGAGTTTACTCTTCAAGAATCCACACACATAGGTCAGGTAATAATCTCAGGTCAGGAAGAACACGACGAGAATAGGTGATTGAGCTCACTCTCGTTACCATCTTTAGTATTTCTCTTTCTTTACTTACAGGTCAGGCAATAGCAGGTCAGGGTTAAGAGCGAACGAACACACTTTAACCGTTAAAGAATAAACTAGGTAAATGAGCAGATCCTTCTTTCATTTCTTGCACCCCTTCTCTTTAGGCTTATGATTTAGAATAGAATTGGAAAGTAGTAGAGTAGTAGTCTCATGTTGTTGTTAAAGTAGTAGTAGTAGATAGAGTAGTAGTCTCATTCATCTTGCCTTTACCTGATTGAATTCCGTAAAGGGGCCGGTCAAGCATTGAACATGACTTTAGCTTTACCGAGTGAGTGAAGAAAGAAAGTGAGTTCCGAGTTTAGTCTCATTCTTCTTCTTCTACAGTTAAAGAATAGTTCAACCCGACTAAGAGATGTTGAGTAGTTCAGGCAATACAGGAAAAGGTTAAGGTTCAGTTCGTAAACTCCCAGCTTGAGTTCAGTCTTTACCCTTACAGTTACAGATAATCAATCTTTAGACTTGATGACCATTACAGTTAGGTCAATCAAACAAAGAGCAGCTACTTCTTTACTACCTTACCTTGTCTTTGAAGTGGCATTAGTCTCATTCTTGCTTCTTTAGTCTTTACGTGTTGGAGAGGCAGAAAGAAGAAAGAGGGTTACGACGGTTGAGTAAGTAGTCAGAGGAGAAAGAAAGATCAGTTCAAGCATCACATTTTAAATAGATATAGGGGAGGGACAACAAATGAGTTATTGCGGTTACCGCGAGTTAACTAAGGGCAATACTAGAGTCACAAGGTTCAGTAGTCA